GAAAGACAGGAAGCTGAAGTAAATCATCTCAAAACAATTAGTGAAGCACTGAACAAACTTCAACGAATAGATATAAAGGAAGAACTTGAGTCATACTACCAGAACAAATATGAAAAAATTGAAGTAAATGTGTAAAGGAACATTTTAAAGATAACAGTGCAATAAAAAAAATGACACCAGAATATAATTTTACCATTGTTACATACACCACAGTACCACATTAGGACGCTTTTTAAGAAATTATATTTTGCTCGCCTTTTGATCATCTAAACTGCATGCTTTTGATGCTGTCATTCAGGACCATAGATACACAATATACATAAAAACATTAATGTTAACTTTTTCTTTTGATAATATATGTTTAAAACCCGAAAGGTCCACTGATTAATCTCAGATAAGAAAGTATAATACTTCAAGTATTGAAATCCTAATAATTACATAATTAATGTCGAAATATTGCATCCTAAAATAATGGCGTGCACTTCAATACTAGGAGTATGTATTATACTTTCTCATAGATATAAGATGTATATACGTTTTTTATATTGTTTATGAAATTTAAGAAATATCATTACTTGTATTATATTAAAGTTCAGATTAATATATATACCATATATATCATACACCATTAGTGATGTCATCGCGAAGAAAACATTTTTTTAATAAACAATTTTTTACAAATTTACCAACATTTTACTACTCGTAAATATTCAGCAATTCTTACTTAATTTTCAATTGATAACTAATTATTTAATAAAATACACAAATTAAGTAATTCAAACTACTGTTTCCTCTGGCATTGAGTTTTAAGTTTCAATGCGTCTTTAGTTTCATAATGTTCAAAGCCTAATTCAGAAAGCGGACCATGTATCCAACGAGAGCAAAGTGGGCGTGGTCGGGCACTAATGATCTTTAGAAAGTGGTCCACGGGATAAGCTTCCTGCAAAAATTGACAATGTAGGGCTTTCGAAAGCTTATTTAATCGATTTTAGAGGAAAGGGCAGGGGAAAATGCAGGGGTGAAACGGTGCGATCGCATCGCACCCCCATAAATTGTATTAAGAAATATAATTGTATCATTGTTGACATGAATTATTGCTAAGATTTTTAAGGTTGTGAGTGCACTGGCACCCAGAGGCCGGTCCGTACTTTCAAAATGTTCGCACCTAGGCCCCAACATGTTGGGGCTGAGGTGGTGTGGACTCCATGCACCCATGGGCGCAGATCATGGGGCCAGCTGACACGTCTCCCACGTATTGTTATGGGGGTGGCCCCCTTACCTTTCATCCGCAGTGCAATTTCGTAAGTCAAGAAGATGCCCGAATATTGTTAAAATAACCTGCACAAATGACCCATTTTTAAAGAAAGAGCGCTGTACAGCCAGAGTACATATTCTATTTTATAGCATGACATACCAATACATTTCTGCCCACAAACATCTGAATTACATTTATTTTCTATGGTACATCAACAGCGATTAATTTGAGCGACGATGATGCATTTTACTATATAAGAATGTCATATCCGGCAATCTAGAGTTACTATTTCCCCAAATTTTACTACCTCAGCCCCAACCGTGGGCCTGAGGTGGTTGTGGACTCGCGGTTTTGAAGTAGGTAAAGTAAATACATCGAAGACAATGTTTTTAAGTTTTATGTTCTA